GCGGACATAACTGGGTGTTGTTCAGTGTCTTTAATTTCATAGTATTTTATCACATGTCCTGGTGGCAAAGGATATAATGCTCCCAACACCAAGTTAAAAGGCTTGGTAACGTTTCGGGCCCGAAAGCAAATTTTAAAATCAACACCTGTTGAAATTATAGTAGCAAAGTTCGCCAGCTCGATGAACCTGTATCGAGCTCGGTTGTCCAGGAGTAAAAACTGATCCCAAAGTTCCTAGCTCACAAACCGGTCAATTTTGCTTCGTTAACTGATAGTTTCATCGTATTATTTTCAAAATTATTAAAACTTTGATCTTCAATGCAAACATGGCAAACATAAAACAGCTTTTTGGGCGCGAAAAGTTACCCGGATTCTCGAGAAACAGGCCCCAGGTAAGATATATAATGAGAACGCATTACATCAACTGAAGGGTATAGAACAATCGACCATACTCTTCTTACCTTGGTAGCTTTGGGGATAGAACTTTTTTCCCAACATATAACAGCGTAAGATTTTTATTGTCCAGCATAATAGGCCATGAGAGATATATTTTCCTCGGGTATTAACTGCACTGAAGCACACGTACCCTGAACTCCGCAGTTTGGCCTGTACCTTGCGCATGCGCACATCCATATCACCCTGGCAGCCATGGTCAGTTGTTTCGTTCTTTCTCGGACTCATCAGCAAGGCATAGCCGTCGGGTAAATGGCCGGGAGTTAACCCGCGTACTGTCGAGGTGAGTGCAAAGCACTGCTTTAAGCGCCAGCTCCACCGCAAACAAGAGGTAGCTGTTGGTTGGGAACTGCAAAACAGTTCTCCCACGGCATGCGCACATGGTTGTGCGCATGCGTAAGGTACTGGCCATACCGCGGAGTTGGTACGTGTGCCTCAGTGCAGTTAAGTGGTATTGTTTCAACCCCTCAAATCAGTCTGCAGGATATTTTTTTCTCAAATCACACATACCCCCTCGAAAGTCAAATGGTCGGCCCCTTATACAGGTCTTATACAATCATATAAGGAACTAAAGCCGACATAGGCGTCAGCTGTCAGGCGCAGACTGGTAAAGTGATGTCTGTGTTCTTTTCCTTTTTAGGATACAGATGAATTGGATGAATTAGAAGGCAAGTCAAAACTATTTTCCCGGCATTTGTGCAAAAAAATCAACGCGGCAGAGATACGTATTCTTCATAACACAAACCCGTGTTGTCCGTTTATTATAGGCCTATTGTTGAGTTCTTGTTAAAAAAGCGCCCATTATTAAGTAAAAGGGTGAAAAAGTGATTTCACTTAAGGTATAATCTTCTTCGTATTCAGGATGTTTTCAATCTTATGACGGGAGTTTGACAAATAGAAGCTGGCCGGGAAAACATATGGTAAGTCCTTACAACTGAGCACTTCTGATTACTTCCTAATCAGCTCGCGAGTTTTTTTTAGCCACTGCCTCATGCAATTGAGTATTACCTAGTGATCTCTAGTCTTACCCGAGAAGATTGTTAGGATTAAACGGCCCTGCTAGGTGATACTGACCAAAGCCTTCTTCAATTACAGAAAAAAAACAGAGCTTTCTCTTCCCTTTATATTGAAGTTTGAACCGTTTAAAATGTGACGGCCGATGTCTCTTTTTATGTTATTGCGGTTCTTGCTCTGCATGAGAAGAGTCGTTCTTTTGTAGGGAAGGATTGTGCTCATTGCAGATCACCACGTCAAAAAAAATTGTATATATATATATAGATATATGTTCACTTGGACCGGCAGTAAGAAAGGCTTGGAGCGAAATGTCAAACAAAAAAACTTAAATTTAATTTGCTCTGTTAGTTTTAAGAATCAAAATTGAGAACTGTACTGCTTGTTAACAGCATTTTATGACCCATAGAACGACACTAAGTTTTGGAATTTCCGGTTACGTCAAATTAGTCACGTTATACTGCCACACTATATTTTGGAAAACAGAGGTATAGGGGGAGGTGTGCGTGAAAATAATGCTAATCGGTTCCTGCTTAGAATGGCTAACTTGCTTTTATTTTTTATTCATAATGGTGGAATTTGAAAAGTTGCTATACATCCCCGACTTTAAAATGTAAAAATGGTACTCATTTTTCTTGTTACAAAGGTCTTCCAAAAGGTTACAATGTTCAAATGAGTTAGTTTCACTTTCACATGAGATTCTACATGTCACGCAATGGTCGTGGACAAGGTTTTATGGGAGCCTGAGTGTGTACAGCCGCCCCTCCCCACAGAAAAAATCAACCCTTGGCAGACCAGTTAAAATAGCTTTTCGGCGATTGTTGTTTAAAATATTTCTAAGTTCTTAACATGCTCACCTCCTCGTAGACTTTCTTCAAACTTTTGGCCTATTTCTCGGCAAGTTTTCAGGATATAAACAGATGTTTCATCTTGCAGATACTCCTCCAAAAGTAGGTAACATCCATCGAGCAATAAGTTTTGTGTATTCTTGCATTTCGTCTATTCAGTTTACATCGGAAATTCAGCTATTTGGTCTTCGAATAGCCGTGAACGCGATGTTTTTGAGTTCACTATTTTCCAAGCAGCCTCGTTTCCAATCTAATATACCATCGATCAGCCTAGCACTGTTCCAATCAAATATACCGTCGAATCGACGGCATATGGCTCAACCAGGGAGTTGGTACGTGTGCTTCAGTGCTTTCTTTGCGTTGCTTACAAATTTATAGATCCCATCTCCATAAGCATGCCATCAGAGAACTGTTTTTCAGTTCCCAACCGACAGCTTCCAAGCCCGGCTTTGCTTTTGCATCCGCTTCGGCGGTCCAAGACAGGGTTTGTGATCACAAGTGAGACTGTGCTGACTATGCTATGGTGAGAGGGTCAAGAAGGGCGAAACAGCTGTCCATGGCTGCCACCGCCGGGTAATATGGTTGTGCGCATGTGTACGGTATTCGGTATACCACGGAGGTGGTACGTCTGCTGCAGTGCTTTCTTTGCGTTATGAAGTATTAGCCGGGTGACTAGAGCCAATCAGAAACTGCAAAGTAATTTGAATGAATAATAGCTGACATTTACTGTAACCGTACCTTAACAGTAAACTTACTTGGCCACAACTGTTGCATCATCACCGCTATTAAGGGTTTTCTCATTGCAAACTTGAGAAATATGACCAGTAAACTGAGTAAACGTCCTTCTCTTTTCATACTCAGGCTTGTCACAGAAATAATTACTACTACCGCTAATGACTATAAAAGAAGTTGGAAAAGTTAAAACATTTAGGGGGAAATTTCCTGGCCAATCCAGCGATATGAAAGCTGTTGAGACCTGTTGACATAAGCCACATTATGCTCGTGTACATACCAAGTCGGTATTCAGAGAGTAACTTCATATTTTTCATTTTTTTTTAAATTTCATGTGACGTTACGATTTATCCTTCAGTTTCCAGTGCTTGACGATATAAAGCCCGGTAAGTAACGTTTGACAACTTTATAACACTTTGTTCTCAAAGAAAAAAATTCCCTTGGACTTTTTTTAACAGATAAAACATCGATTCACTAAAAATGAAGACTTAATTTTAATTATTTCAGTTTTGGTACCATATTTAAATATTACGACGTCATTCTTTGCCCTTCTAGACCTTCCAGCTTTGCTTTACTGTGATCAGTATGTGATGACGTAGTGCCTTTCGTAAACAAATAAGCGCAATATTGCGCAATACAAATCAATAAATATTATTATTATTATATTATTATTATTATTATTATTATTATTATTATTATTATTATTATTATTATTATTATTATTTGACCACTCGGGCACGCTGCTCCTCCATGGCTGTACACCAGCTAGGTGTAACGCAAAGTGGAAAAAAATGAATTTGGAGGTCATATTGAAGAAGATCAGCACGCGAATAAACCACTGACCCGATCAGTCCACAAGGGACGTAACCCGTCTATCATTTGCCATTTCCGAGTTGCCGCAAGCCTTTGCTTCAAAGTGAGGTTAAGGGCGAAGCTATTGATATGAAAATGATTTTTTAGTCTTGTGCAAATTAAGATTGCGTTCCTTTTGACCAATCTAAATTCGGATTTTGCGATCCGAAATTCGATTTTTCGTTGCACTAAGGACTAAACCAATCTAAGATTGCAATATGAACGATCCATCTCCGCACTTGGATCGTTCAGATTGGTATCTTGCTTTCAGAGTTTTGTTCCATTTAACGAAACTTCTTTTTCGTCGATCGCAAGAACGTTATAAACCACCACGAGTAACTGTTAAACAGCAACTTTTCTTTCCATTTCTCCACGATAAGACGCTTAATTTAGCGGAAATAAGTAAAAAACGATGCGTTAAAATTGAGAAGAAGATCTAAGCAACAGGCAGCTACTGTATGGATCAATCTTATTTCAGATTTTTGTTCCGGCTAGCAGGAAAATCTAAATAAACTGGATTGTCTAAATCCGCAAAAAGTTTGGCTAAATGGAACGCAATCTTAAACTCATTTTCACAAGAAAGGTTTTACACTTAGCTTTGTTTTGAAAGCAAGAGTTTCTGGAACTGGGAAGTGGTCTTTTAGTTTCGTTGTGAAGAAGAATAGGGGGGAGGGGAGGGGGTTAAAAGAGAGGACAGAGAGGGGGCTCATTTTGATAAGTTAACTTTCTTTTGTATTTCAGTTTTTCCTTATCGTAACTTAATTCAATTCCGATGTCATTGCAACCCTGATCATAACAAATTCTCATTTTTATCTAAGACAACTATGGTGGCAATTTTTTCCAAATCTTTGTTTATGGAGACATAGTTTATGCTCAAACTTGGGAGACATTGACCCTGAAAAACTGTATGGAGCCATTTAAACCTTCTGTTATAATTACAAGTTTTTGTTAGGAATAATTTGGTTTAAAGTTTAGAGTTTAGAGTTTTAAATTTACGTTTTGACTCCATCATTAGCTTTTGATTGCTCAGAGCGGCCGATATCTTAACGGCCTTTTATTCTTAAGACAAATTTCTTTTTTCGTTTCAGAGGCGATAACGTTTACCATGCATCCAAAGTCACAAACAGCAAAAGAGGGATCACGAGTGGAATTCAAATGCGAAGTGAACAAAAAGAAGGACCACCTGGTTTATGAGTGGTATAAGGATGACGTTGCAGTGTCTGGACAAAATGATTCAGTTCTAGTTCTGGATGTCGTGGAGTTGCGTGATTTCGGCTGTTATGCGTGTCACGTGAAATACCAGAATTCATTCAACGTTACTGCAAAATCAAACTGCGCAACTTTGGATGTCATCCCCCAATCTCGAAAGGGAATGAGTGAGTGCATATAATATTAAAGTCTATTTCGATTGGGTTGTGTTTTGCTCCATTGGATTTGTATTTTATTGACTTTACATTGCATTTATCAGGAACCGTTTTGCTTCTCTTTTTCAGGAGCCAAACTTCTGCGCGACTTGGATTTTAACACCACAAAAAAGATCGCATTGGCTCTGAATAAGACGAAAATTGGGCTGGGGGGTTTTAAGGAAGTAGCTTATGAGTATGGCATGAAACCCGTCGAGATAGGAGCGGTAGAGGATTCCCATAACCCCGGAAACGAGGTCTTGGACTATATCATGGCGTCTAAGCCTGACCTTACAGTATACAGCTTTTGCAAAACACTCAAGGGAGATGGATTTAAGAGGCTTGATATTGTGCAAAAGCTGGAAGATCACTTCCTAGTTCAAGAGGAAACTGGCAAGGCTTCCACCTCTTCCTTAATTAATACATCTTCAAACTTTTGAGCAGGAACACTCGTTCGTGATTGACTTTGGTGAGCTTGTTTCCAGACTTAATATAGCTAAAGGGTCTGATTGGGTCGATTAGGGCAAGAGATATTTTCAATTTTGGAAAATTTTTTCCACACGCAGCTGAATTCAACTAAATTTCGGTATCTTTTGTTCTATCAGTTCTACAACCTCCTAACACCTATTTTGTGCGTAAGAACACTATTGACCTTCCTTATACAAACCGCTTAACGTAATAGTTTAGCAGGGACCGCGGAGGGGGAGGGGCTGGTAGGGCCGCGGCCCCACCACTTTTTTGCGCCTCCGCCCCCACTTTTTGCGCTAAAAAGAAAAATAATTAAAATTGAAAAAAAGACTTGAAACAAGTTTTTTTCCGTCTATATTCCGCTATATTCTCTGTATTTTCTTTAATTTCAAACGCCAGGCATTTTATGGGGCTCCTGTGCTTTTCGCGGTAATTGTGCCCTGGGGCCGACTTGCCCCTTGATCAAACGCCATGCCTTGGCAATTGCCTTGGCCACCCCTTCTCTTCGTTCGGCAGCGTGTTTTGTACTTCCAGCTCCGCCAGAGTTTTTTATCAGTTTTATCAGACGAAATGAAGATTATTACTAGCTTTTTCAAGCCAAACAAAGGTGAGTAGTTGTTTTGAGTTGATAAAAGTTTTATGTTTTGTCTTTCTCCTTTCGAATCAATGAAATATTCGATGGCAAGAAGAATTACATTACTTGAACAGTGAACGGCCATAGGGCTATTGCATTTAAAATCCGTACCCCCCGGTTGAGGACTTACCTTTTCATCTTACCCCTTAAGATTGGCTAAAATTGCATTCACCCCTGAAGACTTCCGTAAAACATGGGTTTACCCCTGAAGAATTGGGTCATACCCCTGAAGAATTTGGGTTTACCCCTGAAGAATTTTGTGAAAATTAAGGCTTCACCCCCAAAGAATTCCATATTTGTTTACTCTATATCTACCCCTAAAGAAATCCTCAATTTTTATAACTTACCCTTGGAGAATTCCATGGTTCCTCAACCGGGGGGGTGCGGATATTAAATGCAATAGCCCATAGTTAGAAATTTTTCGATTTTCAATATGAAAAAATTATTTTCAATTGTCAGCCCTCCCACTTTTCACCTTGCTCCGCGGTCCCTGTTTAGTATATTCATCTTAGAAAATCTTGGAACTTAGAAGAACTAAGAGGCTCAGTAATAAACCATCGTTCAACTCAACTTCCTGTGCACCTTGACTTTCTCAAAATCTGTACCCACTACAGATTTTTTAAAGACGGGAAAACGGAAAAGGGAAAGGAAAGAAATCTTTCTATCAGGAGCTTCCTCCGCCTTTTCCCCAACCGTAACTGGGCCTTTATTGATCCATGCTCTCTACAGGCCGGACAAAGACGCATAGCGCCGAAAGAGCCTCTTGACTAGTAGAGCGACGAACGATCAGTTCGTGCCTTTTTTAAGTCTGCAGTACTTTATTTCCTAAGATATGGAGAACTCACTTCCTACAGACTCATATGGCACCATATATCATCAAGAGCTGTCCAATGACAAAAGCTATACAGTCACCCTTTGGCACAGCAAAAAAGAACTAGTGGAACTGCATATCAAGTTTATAAAGGTGTATGTGATGTCCATTCAATTTGAAGGCAGGATAATATACTCTTATCATTAAGGGAAACTAAGAGATGGCTCAACCCGTCGCACTCGCACCCTTGACCTTTATGTATGGGGCACACCCCCGGGGATTTGCAATTGTTTTCTTTCTTGGAGGTCTATTCCCCACCCCCGAGCTCCTGATAGACCTCATATACGTTTTTTGCTACATCTTTTTTTATCCCTACGAAAGCAAAACGACACGTTTTCACAACTTTTATGAACGGTTTCCTGAGTTTATTGAGAGAAGGATAATGGATGTCATAATGTAGTTAAAACATGAACAATAAATTTGAAAACGAAAACGAAGAAGAAAAACTCTTTAAATTGCGCCTCATTGTTGATAGAACCCTTTATGAGAACACTGGACCGAATCTCTGTTTCTCTCTATATATCAAAAGCCTTGTATTCTTTTCAATATAAAAACTTGTCATTATTTAAAGCTAAGCTGAAGAAATATTTCTGTCCTTCCTTTCCAGAAAATAAAATCCATTCGAGTACGCATCATACACACAATCGTTTCAAATTTTTAAACATACCTTTAAATACAGACTTTAATTTTGATAAGTTATTACTCTCCAACCACTTTCAGACAAATTCCTGCGTTTTTCCTTAAAAATACGTAGTCTTGAAGTTCGCAGTCATCGTGTAAACCGCGCAAGAAATAACACGTACTTCGCAAAATCACTGAGAGAAGATAGGACCGCTTCAAACAATTCCCTATTCCCGAACTTTTCCCGGCGGTTGCCCGGGGGGTAATGGTAACAAGTAAAATTGAACGATTCATTACGAGTGCGAGAAATTCAAACAGGAGCTGCCCTGAGGCGTATTGGTCATGAACTGGCCATTTAAAAGGCGAAGTGACGTTTGGAGCGTTTGCCTTTTGTCAGATTGAATCAAGCGTCAAGATTTTTCCTACTGGTCAGGACATAGTTATTCTCGCAGGCTGACACAGACTTTGTCAACCTCATCCCCAGGGTCTTCTCGCTTTCCAATATGGCGGTGGCACGAGAGAAGATTCTTCCCTCTTGTAGCCTACATAACAGGCGCTTTATGAGCCAAGCGAGGGGAACGCGGCATCTCGCGCGAGACACGCGAAATGCCGCGTTCGCCTCGCTTGGCTCATAAAGCGCCTGTTATGCTATGCGGTCAGCACTTTTTAACATCTGTCGAAAGGTCTTTGGACACCTTATGAGGTTTACACAACATAGTATCTGTCTCTCCTGCCGCCGCCATACTCGCCACAAGCTTTACTGGCCAGCGGATTTTGCATATTTCCCGCCCTTTTTGCTTAAGACGCCATCTTTGTTCAGCAGATAAACAATAAATGTGAGTTCTATGATCGCTGAAATGAACACGAAAAAGAAGACAAAATCAAAGCAGAAAACAGGTGAAGAACAAGCTAAATGCAACACACACTCTCACGATTTCACAGCCGACGAAATCGAGTTTATTCGTGCAGAGCTCCTTTCTTGGTATGACAAGAACCGCAGACAGCTTCCTTGGAGAGAACGAGCTTCCGAACAGGATCCAAACAAGCGAGCGTACGCTGTATGGGTATCTGAAGTGATGTTACAACAAACACAAGTGGCCACTGTGTGTGATTATTACAATCGCTGGATGGAGAAGTGGCCAACTGGCGAACACTTGTGGGAAGCAAACTTAGAGGAAGTCAACGAGTTATGGTCGGGTCTGGGTTATTATTCTCGAGCAAAGAGGCTTCATGAGGGAGCTAAAAAGGTCGGTACAAGAAAGTGTTGCTTGTTTAGTTTTAAATCTGTTATTTATGGAGTTAATTTTGAAAGACGAACGTTTCGCAGTTGCTAATGTGCTATTTATATATTTCATTGCTGACATCGTTTATCGGAGCCTTTCGAAAAAACACCCAAGCCCCCGGTCAACCAACCCCATAGAGACTCCTCCCCAACTGACTTGCTAACATTACTGGGGAAAATAAAGACACAGTACGCGAATACATTTCGGCTGCTCGACTTCGTTAAGAAAATTTTCGTTTGTTTACAAGTACAATAATAAATATCAACATAAGTGAGTGTTATGCAAATGAGTTATTTTGATACCCCGTTACATTGATTGTAATCCAGGGCTGTCTTTAAAGGCCAGGGACTAGGAATTACCCCTGGCTGCTTTAAGGACAACCCTTGGGAGGAAACAGAACCTAAAGAACCTCCCAACTGTTCAATTACCCGCCTATAGCTAGTAATTGCATACCAGTACCTAGCAACTTGAAATCTTAGTGACAGCCTTGGTAATGCATGGTTCAATTTTACTTGTAACCATATCCCCCCCCCCCCCCCCCCCCCCCCCTCTCAAAACCCCTTGTTTTTTTTTGTTTATAAATTAATCATATTTTTAATTATAACAATAAAAAATAATTTTTTTTTTTTCTTTTTC